CTAATTATTCTTCTCACATCAATACTACAATCTCGAAATTGGAAATATTTATCGAGGATAATGAACCTTTAGATTTTAACTTAGTGGGGGCAACTTATACTTGGTCTGACTACTCTGTTATTAATACTTAAATGTCAATAATTGATAGGTTGGGAGGACCTTTTTCCTAAATTAATACTTAAAGCCTTGCCACCATGGTCCAATCGTGATTGATACAGAAGGGGATGAGTATCCCCCCCCCCCCCCTCTCTTTAGATTTGAGCTTATGTAGTTACAAGATAAGACATTAAGAATGAGGTAATGAACGGATGACATTGTGAATGTTATATATATGTGATTGCACAAAAATTAAAATCATTGAGAGTATGGAGTTAAGAAGTGGAGTAAGGACAGATTTGGTTTGAAGTGTCTCCGATTGGATAGAAGCCTTGAATTCCGTTGAACAACTTAATGGGGAGCCTTACTGGACAACAAAAACTGGAAAGAGATAGTTTGAGAAAGGAATTTGAAGAATTGCTCAGAATGGAGGAAAACAAAAACTGGAAAGAGATAGTTTGAGAAAGGAATTCGAAGAATCGCTCATAATAGAGGAAACATATTGGTTCTGGAGATTGAGATCTAAGTGGGTCAATGAGGGAGATAACAACACAAAATACTTTCATGCATTGGAAAATTATAAAAACAGATTTAACAGTATATGGGGGATTCATATTCTAGGGGTGGTGGAGGATGACTGGCAAGGTAAGGTGAAAGCCCCTGAAGATTATTTTACTGAGGCGTTCTAATCTAATCTCAAGCTCAATTTTTATATAGATTGTATTCCCTTTATGGAACTCTCGTAACATAAGGCAGTTGACCTGGAAAAGGAATTTTTGGTTGAGGAAATTAAAGAGGATCTCTTCCAATTACCCAAGGACAAGGCCCCAAGGCCTATGGCTTTCCCATTGGTTTTTTTCAGGAGTTTGGGACCTTACCAAGGACGATTTAATTGTTTTTTTTAAAGGAATTTTACCCAACTTCAGTTGTCAATAAGGCTATAAATTTTACATTTATAGCCTTGATTCCCAAAGAAAAATACAATTCAATCTCTTCAAGTTATCAGGCCCGTATGTGTCCTTACATTTATAGCCCTTGGTCACACATGAGGTGGTAACTGGTCCCAATTCACTTTTATTAAGGATTGTCAGGTAATGGATAGTATTCTAGTGGCTTAGGAGGTTATACACTCTTTACCATTAGTCAAGGTTAGTGGGGTATTATGTATAAGATTGGTTTTGATAACGCATATGATCATGTTGAATGGAGTTATTTGGGCCAGATCATGAGGCCAATGGGTTTTGGTAAAAGATGGAGAAATGGAATTCAAGTCTTCCTATCACTCAACTCATTTTTTTAGTGCTTATAAATGGGAAATTAGTGGGATATTTTAAAGCTTCCCATGGTCTTTGACCAGGGAACCCCTTATCTCCTTTCCTATGCTCTTTCTTTAGTCTCATGTCAGAAGTGGTTACTGAAAATGGTACGCTATAAGGTCTCCCTGCCTCCTATACTGGTCCCAATGTCTCTCATCTTTTGTACACTGATGATATACCATTATTCCTCAAGGATCCTTTGATCAGGTTAAACACCTTTGGTTGTTCCTAAAATGCTATCAGTTGATTTCTGGTGCTAAGATAAATATGGCAACTTGTTTAATGGGTTTTGATATACCACTTCCTGAGATTGGTGTGGTGAGTGGGCTTCTTGGATGGCAGAAAATCGAAGGTAATACACATCAAGTATTGAGGCCTACCTTTGGTTGAGAACAGACTGAATATTGTGGCTAGGGACCCATTAGTGAAAATGTTTAACTTTAAGTTGGACTCTTTAGGGGGGTAGACTCACTCTTATTAGGGCCACTTTGTCTAACCTTCTAGTGTATTTATTTATTTTTTATTTAAGGCCCCTGGAGTAGTCATCAAGAAGCTGGAGAAACTTATGAGGAACTTCCTTTGGAGTGGAAGCTCTGAGAAAAAGAAGTTCAATCTGGTAAGATGTGATGCGATGTGTCTCCCAAAGAAGGAAGGGGGTCTGAGGTTGCGAAGGCTTAGGCTCTTTATTGAGGCTTTATGGTGGTGGAAGTTAGCTTTAGCCAGGATGCAATTGTAGAAGAAGATCCTCTTCAATAATTATGGTGTTGATGATTCTGGAAAGCACTTTCGGCATCAGAAATCTTCATGATGGCTCTAAAATTAATTTCCGACACCCACAATAAAATTTGAAACACAAAAGATGATATATATCTTACGAACGCTTATTTTTAGAGCAAAATATATGGTCTAAATAATTTGTTGCAATATACACTAATTTTAGAATTTGAAATCCTAATTGTTTTGCACAACCGTAATGTTTTAGCTGAGATGATTGATTTAAAGGTTTTTCAACACTTGAATTGGAATTTTTGATGAGGTGAGGGTTTACTTAATTTGATACGGTTGCAGCCCTATCAAATCATTTTCTTTGTTACAAAGATGTCCTAATCACTCATCGCCATTAGATGTCAAATTGGATGGCTTGGTTTAGGTCAAATATTTTCTAATATTTTCTCTTGGTGCCCTGAATCTCTATCATATAAACCCCTAGTTTTTATTTATTTATTATCAAGTTAAGAAAAAATTGTTAAAAAAAAAAGTAGAGATTACAAAAGGAGGCTGAGAAGGCCTTTGTAAAATCGAACCGGAACGGTTAACCAGACATGGGCCCGGAAGCGGTTTAATCGGCCTAACTAGTAAACCAGCCAAGTCAACCGTTCTAACCGGCCAAATCCCGGACGGTCAAAAAAGTGTTGAAAAAATAAAAAAGATACAAAAAAAAAATCTACTAAAATATAAAAAGCATATAAAGAATGATTAAAACAAAACACATTCAAATGAAGTTGAAAATTAATGAAAAAAAATAGATTTTAACAAATCGATTTTTGAATTAAAGTGAGTATTAATGACAAAATTAGTTTTTAATATTTACCATAATGTGAAGAATATTAAAAATGCTTTACAAGCCAAATTTTTTATTTTTGAGAATTTATATACATTTTTTTGAAAATACCAGCCTATCACCAAAACTAAAACTAGCTACTGGTCGGTTCCGATCTAACCGAGCAATTAGCAGTTAGATCGGCCGGTTTTTATAGCAATGAATGTAGGTGAAGATACTGAACCGGAAGAGAGAAAGAGAAAAAGGTGAAAGGTGAGAAGTAAGTGGAGAAGGAGGAGAAGTTAAAAGGGGAAGAGGACAATTACTAGGGATTCGAAGCAGTCTTAGCTAGGGAAACATGCTAATGAGTTCCTCTCCCTTTTCAAATGAGTAAAAAAGCAGGCCCCTCCCTCTTAAGGCATAAAGGATATCTATAGAAGTGTTTGAGCTATTTTCAAAGGAATGGAAGAGGGGTTAATGCACCACTTAATAACATTGAAGGAATCCCCCTCAATGATCACTCGAGAGTAGGAGGCATCTAAGCTTACTAGGCCATGCTTATGCTTCAAACTAAGGAGCTCAACCTCAATTGTCAGGCAATGTGGTAGGACTCCATTCAATGTCCTAATAATCTCCTGATCTCTAAGGACCACCCCATAGATTGTCCTGACACTAATGTCAAAGTTAAACTTCACCCAACCAATAGCGGGGTGGTGTTTCCATAATGAGGCCTTCTTGATCTTGCAGATTTTGAAGAACATAAGCTGATGTAGTGATGCTAATTAGCCTCAAATTATTCTTTAGGGACCCCCTTAAAAGAATGTAAGGACTTGTGCTAAATCCTTTTTCGTATCGTCAAAAATTCTAGCATTCAGCTCCTTCCAGATATGCCAAAGCGTAGCTCCCACCAAGATTTTCATTAAAAGCAATCCCAGTTTAGAGGAAGACATAGAGGGTATATGGAGGAAGAAGTGGTGAGCAGTCTCTAGCATAGCACAATGACAGCGCACCATCGAAAAAACCCACCACCCCCATAGACTTGCAGCAAAAAGGCAGTGAAGATAAAGATGTTCATCAGTCTAGGCTGCCTCCGCCTTACCGAAAATAAAAACATTGGCTAAAAGCATTCCCCTCTTATGCAGCTGTTGAACTAAAAGAGTAAGGTCTCTACTTACCAACTAGATAAAAGAACTACAAAGGAACTGGCATAATAGAGAGTACAAGGACTTAACCGAGAAGAAGCCATCAGGACATAGCTCCCAAATGATCCTATAAGCTCTATCAAGGGAATAAAAATGGCTATAAAGAATTTGGAGTTGGTCTGCCATCTGGAGTGGGATCCTTCTATATCTCAAAGTAATGTCCCAAGTGAGCCTATTGTCTTCACCCAAAACAGCCTCAAAGACCAAGAGCTTTTAGTTGGCCGACATCCTATAAATCTCAGGGTACATAACTTTAAACGTGCAATCCCCCAATCATTTAGTAGACCAAAATTTAGTCTTATTGCCATCCCCCACCAACTTTCTACTGTGCCCCACGAAAAGACCCATGTATTTTTTTAATGGGTGCGGTTTGTATAGAGCCGATGCTCTAAATGATCAAATTAGAACTTCCTTTTAAATAGTATTAAGAAATATGGTTTTAATACCGGAAAGTTTTGTGGTGGACATAAATTATATTTTCATCTTTAGTTGTAAAATTTAAAGCTTCAAAAATAGTGTAGATCGAGCAAAACTTGAAAACATTGAAAATTGACAGTCCAAAAATGCGTTACAATATACATTATTTATGAAACTTGAAATCTATTTTTTTCTCATGTCCATGCATCTTGATGTGGAGATGATCAATTTGATGATATTTGAGCATCAAAGCAACTTCTTCTAGTGAAAGTTTTGAGGTAGGCTCTAATTTGATTGTTTAGAGCCTAAGCACTATACAAACTATTCCTCTTTTAATTTCTTTCCAAATCATGACACTCCATTAGTCCTATTTCTAGTAAGAAAACAAAGATTTGAGGGGAAGCTTTATTTTGTTTTCCTGTAGAAACTTCATCCTTGTAACAATAGTAAATGGTTGTATACAAGAGAGATTAGAGATCGGTCAGTTTAGAGATGGGGATGGATTTTTTCAATCTCTCTCTCTCTCTCCCAAACTGGGGGCTTTAATTTATTTCCCTCTCCATGTGTCTCGCATGGATATATAGGTACAAAACAGTCATTACGAAAGGTGAAGTGTCATTTGCAGAGAAATAGTTGATATGAAGGGCCTTTCTTCCATTACTTAACTTTGTATTTTCTTCCCATTTTTATTCCTAATAAAATAACGAAGGTGCCACAAAGAAAGTCTCCACATTCCACTAAAATTACGTCCCGAGTCTTCAGAGTTGTTCATTTCTTGAGAAGGTTTTGCGTTTCTAGGTCACAACTCACAGAGACGTGACGCGGCCTCTAAAGCATTCACCTCCCTGTAACTCTCCTCTCTTTCTCTCTCTAGATCAACAGGGCTGTATCTGTTCTTCCTCTAATCTCTCTCTCTCTATAGATTTCTGGGGCAAATTGAGAGGATCCGTTGGATATCCATTCATCATATGATTTCTATCTATCAGAACTTTTGAGACGAAAAGAACGGATCGACCTGATTGTAATTCATCTGTGCTTCTCTTTCTCTCTCTGGATTGCTGTAAAGGCAGTCTTGAATGCATATCAATTCATCATTTGATGGCCTTTTCGGAGAATTGCCCACTATGAAATGGCAGTCGCGGTATGGAAAATCTGACCCTGTAATTCAATCTCTCTCTCTCTCTCTCTCTCTCTCTCTCTATCTCTGTAATTTCCTGCTCTGAAAGGCGCGATAGATTGTAATTTTCTTTTGTTTGGGATTTGACTTTTTCTTGCAATACTGTGCTGCAATCTATTGTTGAAATATTTACTTGTATGAAAAAAGAAAGCTTTATTCAATTCCTTAAACACTTCTTAATTATTTACTATGCTCCTTAACCCATGATATGTCATCATTATCATCAAGGCCTTTTCCCAGCTCTTTAACCCATGATAAGTCGTAATGATTATTGGGATTTGGAGCTTTTTCCATTTGTGAAACTGACTTTCTGCTGAAGTATGGGATTTGGAATTTGTTTGAGCAAAATTGTGGCCTTTTTGTGCGTTCTACTTTTTTTTTTTTTCTTCTGTTTTTTGAGTTTCTAAAACTGTTAAATTGAATTAGAATTTGGGTCTTGTAAATGAATCGAGATTCAAAATAAAATGGGCAAATGGGCAAACAAGAAAATTTAATTGGTCCTTGTATATTTTTCTTATCTTCATATTATCAAGAAATTGATCTATATTTAAAATTTCCTTTTCTTTTTCATGCTCATTTTTGGCAAAAATTGGTTGGGGGCTGATGCACTTATCAATCGAAGATTCATGAAAATTGTTTTTGGCTTCCATTTTGATAATCTCATCAGAGGAGAACCATTACATCATTGGGGGAATGCCCACCCAAAAAATGCACACTAACACAAGGGTTGAGGCAGGCCCTTCAATTGATAAGTAAGCACCCCACTAGAATTTCTTGGTTGGAAAATTGTACCATGCACAAGTAGGTGTGTGATATATAGTACACCACAGGGGCATCTGCCTCCGTTCTTTATGTCCAATGAAGTGAGAGTGTATATTGTATCTGAATGCGTTGGAGAGAATATAGTTAAGATAGAACTCTGCTCTTTCTTTTTGGATATAGCTCCTACTCAGTTGACATATCCGACAATCCTATAAATTGTACACAAGAGAAGCTTGTCAAGAGAAAGTAACTATTTGGTTATGATAAATGAATTGTTGCTTGTGCTGCAAAAAATAGTGAAAGTGTCATTTGTCCTACTAAGTTAAATGGTCATTTGTTGAACAGAGACTAAGTTAACTGACATTAAGGATCTATCAAGGAAAGAAAAAGAAAAAGAAATAGAAGGAATGAAACATTCAAGCCAAGGCATGCGATAAAGAAATGGTTTTTGGAAGATTTAGGGTGTAAATTATTGCATTGACTTGTTTAACAAGACAAGATCATGAACATTAAAATTTGTATGAAAAGGTAAAAAAATGATCATAGCCGTCAAAATCAGAGGCATCAGCTTTATCATCAAATGATATTGGATTTGTAGTCTATCCTTGGCAGTGCTTGGTGCTTGGAGTTCTAGCCTAGAGCCAGATTCTGTGATCTTGGTTACTTCAAAGTCAGTGCTGAATTGTGTCAGATACTTCAAAATCATCTGTAACATCAAAAAATTTGTTCTTCTAGCGGTGTCTAGAGCCGTATGCATGCATCATAAGCCAGGTACTTTTCCCATGGAGAAATCCCAAAGCCAGGGGTTTTCTACCTTGAGGCTCCATGGTTATTTTTTATATATTTTTTTTTGAATTTTTATTTTAGCTGTTTAGATGTGGTGTCGTTGAGATCCTCACGGGTATTCTAGAGCTTGAGTTCAGATCTCTAAGAGGATCAAATGGCTAGAAATCTAGGCTCCTCCGAACCATAGTGTATGTCACTATCATGTAAATGTTATGTTATGTAATTATAAAAATGTAGTAAAGAGAACAAAAATGTGTAGATTTATAAGTAAATAAATCTATGCAATGGAACAATCAGAAAACCCTGCCAAACATCCATGGGTGAAATTCTACAGTAATTTTGCCCCTGAATGTTACAGTGACAGTTTGGTCATTTTTAATTGTATGAATTATCTTTTTTATATTTTTGTTGGGTGCGCCGAGTAGAGTTGTATCTACCCTCCAAATTTCAGATCAAAGGGATTTGTAGAAAAAAAAAAAATCGTAGACCAAGATACACTGTCAACTGTCAGATCAAAATAAGGCCCATGGGCAAAAACGAGATGGGGTGTTCCTGGAATAGACACATATGAAGTGACACTTCTTTTGATAATTGATAGCTTTGGCTTTTATTTTTTACTCCATCACTTGTAAGGTACAAAAATGAGACGAAGTAATATCGAAATAAAAGTGCAAACATACCACACACTATCATGCATGTGCCATACTTTAGGTGTTTGTACATGCATGTATTTGCATGGATGATGCATTAGTGGATGCCTGAATCATTTATGCATGTGTTATCTGATATTGTGTTAATGCATGTTTGTATAGGTGTATTGCTGCAATTAAATGAGCACAGTTGCAATGTTTCTCGTCATATTCCAATGCTAAGCATGCTTCTCGAAGATTAAATACTATGACGGTAATCCCTTGGGATATGGTCTTTCCTTATTGGGCGTATTTGAAGCTCACAAAAATAATGAGGTCCCAAAGCCTTCACAAACAAAAAGAGAAGAAAAAAAGAAAGAAAGAAAGAGAATCTAGACGGCAACCCATCTGCCAGTTGAAAATACTAAGTTTGGCACATCGTGGCCTGTTTGTCCCTGTTTTATTTTACCAATTCAGCAAGTCACAATCATATATCAACAATAACCTAATACGCAATGTTTCTTTCCAAAACAAACTAGCCTCCGCAACTTGTGGGAGATATTTTTCTAATGCCTAAATAATTTTTTATTGCTAATATTTTATAGCTGAGCACTTCTATATCTAAGGTATTCTCCACATTTTTCCCTATCTAATAGATACTACATTATTCCTTCAGTTTTGGCGATGAACTATGAATGACTTTGTTTTCCTTCCAAATTATCATCATCATCCGAACCTTATCCCAACTATTTGGGGTTGGCTATATGAATCATATTTCACATTCTAATCTATCAAGGGCCATACCCTTAGTTAGAGAGCATATAGCACAAGCACATGATTCACGAAAAGAAGTGGCAAAGTTTTACACTGGTTTACTACCTAACACAACACCCTTTCTTATTCGTGCTTGGAACCGGCATGACCTGCTTGGGACCTGCCATGTTGGAGTCATGTTGGAGTTCTGTTTGCCCTCCAACTAACAATTTAAATAAATATAGTATACAAGTAGGCAAACCAGGAACTCAACTTTACATCCCTAAAAATCCTATCGCCCAAATGTCAGGGCTGTGCAACAAACTGAAACTACTGAATGCTCCCCCAGTTGGCCATAGATACTCAGGAGCTCTCACTGTTCAACAGACCTCTGTCCTCGTATGCTTCAATTAAGAGCTTTGATCTGTGCCCTTCAACTTGTGTTTCTTATTCTACATGTTGTAAGTTTCATTAACATCTATGGTTGAATGTGACAATATGATGCATAAACTTTGAAGAACACCATTTGGACCTGCTACTAGGTTTGAATGACAATATGATGCATAAACGTTGAAGAACACCATTTGGACTATAGTTACCCAAATCGCCTATGAGGGTAGCGATTCCGTTTCGGAATCTCGATTCAACGTTTCCCCGAGCGAAAGTCGATTCTAAAAGAAAGGAATCACGTTTCCATTTTTTGCGGAACACGATTCCACCTAGTTTAGGAATGTTGATTCCTAGATTGCCAGAATCAAGATTTCATATCAAGAACTTTATGATTCTTAGCTACACAAGAATGCGATTCTATTTGTGAGAAATGTTGATTTCAAATTTTTTGGAACTGCGAATCCATGTTGTTTGGAATTCCATATCGCAGACATCGTGATTCCTTGCTACACAACAATGCAATTCTACTTATGCTAAACGTTGATTCAAAGTACTAAGGAATTACGAATTCATGTTGGCAGGAAGTAATGTGAGCATAGGGAGAGAGCAGAAACCCTTCGATGTGTGCTCAATCATGAGTGAGCACGACATGTATGAGAACGTGAGAGAATTTGAAGTTGTTGCACATGGCAATAAAAACAAAATTTAAAATATGTGTAATATGTGAGCATAGGGAGAGATGTGTGTTCAATCATGAGTGAGCGCGACATGTATGAGAGCGTGAGAGAATTTGAAGTTGTTGCACATGGAAATAAAATCAAAATTTAAAATATAAGTAATATGTTAAATTTTTTATTTTCTTATTTACTAATTTCCATCCTTCATTCCATGTTACTTTTTAAGAACTCTTACCAAGAATAAATAATACTAAAAAATATGTTACTTCAAATTTAATAATGTTTGGTAAATGGTGTAGGTACTAAACTACTAATGTAATAATGTTTAATATATGATCGGCATCGTCCTTTCTTCAAGTTGAATAAGAGCATAAAAATGCTTTTCTTTAAGTAAAATAAGAAGATAATAAGAATATGAGCGAAGTGCCCTGTGTGGTGTTTTAGGTTAAATTAATCATTAAATATCAGAGAAATTGACTAAAAATTGAATAACTCAATTTTCAAAAGTAAATTGGCTAAAAATTGAATAACTCAATTTTCAAAAGTAAATTGACTAAAAATTGAATAACTCAATTTTCAAAAGTCCAAAGACACAAAACTACATTTAACAAAGACGAATTACTATGTCATGTACTTATTTTATAATTCAAGAAAAGGAGATAAAGGGAGTTTGCCCTTGTTCTCACTCCTTGTATGCCGTAGACTAGCTCCAGACCTTGTAGGCATAATAGGGTTATCGGTAGACCGAGTCCATTGCATGGAATTGTCCACAAAGATACCATAAAGGTTGACATTAGTACTTGGAGTCTTGGATTGAGTATATACAGACCAAAATTTTATTTTGTAGTAATGGGTAAATTTATATATTTTCTGAATACTTCTCTCATATAGCGGAGGGAATTGGTTCGCAATTCTAGTAAGGAAAGAATCTTCATTCCAATATGGGGAGAATCACGATTCCGGAATGGTGAGAATGTTGATTCCAATTTGATGGGGACAACGATTTTAGAATTTTTGGAATCACGATTTTATATTTTTAGGAATCATGATTCTATATTTTTAGGTATGAAACGCAATTCCAACATGAAGGGACATCGATTCATACAAATAGGAAACACGATTCCTAACTTTTTGAATCGCGATTCCGAAATAGTGAGAATCATTTTTCTGAAATCCGAATCGTACAGACAACGATTCCGAGATTCCGAAACTTCTGATACACGCGATTCCGGTTCCAGAAATAATTCAGAATCACATACGTTTCCAACAACTACAATTTGGAAGTGCTACTAGGTTTGAAGTCATTTTCCAGGACCTGCTGCTGTACAACAAGTGGTTACATTGTTTGAACCATTGATTTGGTAGCAGTTTGCCAAAGTTCATTACATTACTTTTATGTTACAATATTTTGTGTTAATGATGATGTTGCTTCTCCTTTGGCTGTTTCTTTTTCTACTCCAATACATAATACTTTTCTGTATTTTGAATATCTATGGTAAAATGCATATGGCGAGGCTTATAGAACTTTCACGTTATCCAATGTTTTGGTGCTAATCTTCTGCTTGTTACTTATTTTATTACAATGTTAATTTGTCCAGGAAGCTTGTCATGAACAGAAATCTTATACCCATTTTCAGACACAATCATATTATGATTTTGGTGAAGGTGGCCTAAAAGGCAATGAAAGTTCATGCGCTTGCACCCCAAAATTTTCAGACCGTTGCAGAAGGATAGCAACGCCACTTTCCAAGGTGGACTCCAGGCATGCACGTTGCCCTAGAATTGCTTATAGGCCTATAAGGCCATCTGATCTAGAATCTCTGAAGGAGCTTCATGGTAAATTATTCCCAATAAGGTTAGATGTCTCCTTCATATGATTTTGGTGTGATTGGTAGCTGCAGTTCTCTAGGATGATGGCTTACTTTTTGTGACGGGAAGCTATGCTAAATTTCAATGATTTTTGGAAACCATTGTATATGTTGGGGTCAGCACTGTCTAATGAAATGGACAGAAAGTGAGAACCACCAATGGACATTTCCAGTGCTGTTGGATCGCACTCTCTTCATAACTGTTCATTATTGTGTTGGAGGGTGATGATTCCCCGCTTGAATATTGGTTTTCTGTAGTTCATTGGATTGTGGAATACCTCCCCTTTGTTTTTATGTCAGCTATGTATTGTACACCATGGGTAGCATTATTTATGAATGTTCTCATGATACTTTCTTGAAGATGATATCTTCAGGTATGAATCTGAGTTTTTCCTCAATGTTGTACATGGTCGAGATATTGTATCCTGGGGTGCAGTTGACAGTAGCAGGCCTTGCAATCAAAGTGATGAACTCATTGGCTTTGTCACTGCACGTGTTGTTGTAGCATCAGAAAGTGAGGTGAGTGTGTATAATGTGGAGATTAGATATTGGGGACCAGTTTTTACATTCATTCCGATTAGTGAACTTATAATATCTTGTGCCCTGACCTCTCAGTTAGAAGATTTGCTGGGTTATGACACTTTGAGGAGAGAGAGAAAATTTGTTTATATTTTGACACTTGGTGTTGTAGAGCCTTACAGAAATCTCCACATAGGTAGTTCTCTCTCTCTCTCTTTCTATTGGTTTTCTTAGATGCATATTTTGACATGATGGTTTTGAAAGAAAGGCTCCTATTTGACCTGTTATTGCAGCATCTTCTCTTGTCCGTGAAGTGATCAAGTATGCCTCGAGCATTTCTTCTTGCCGAGCAGTTTATTTGCATGTTATTGACTATAATACCCCTGCCATCCACTTTTATCAGAAGATGTCATTTAAATGCTTACGAAAATTGCACAATTTCTACTACATTGAGCGTCGGCATTATGATTCGTTCTTGTATGTATACTATGTGAATGGTGGAAGATCTCCATGCTCTGCACTGTAAGTAGGTTTTTCTGGTTTTAGTTCCTTTTGATTTCATGCTTTTCATTTACAGTGGTATACTGAGGATCTAATCCTCAAGCCTCTTAGCTAAGAATGCAATCAAAGATGGCCTTGAATCTAGTTCCATTTTGTTGTGTATCCTTTTTAGTATTCTGATATCAGTTATTATTAAGAGGGAAATGTGATGCCAGACGTTGGATTCAGGATGGTTTTCAGGTTTTCTTTTTGCATGATCTTAAAGAAGATTTCAAACACTGATGTCCTTTACCTAATGAACAGGGCAATGTACCTCGTGGTGCTTGTCCTTCCATTTTTTGAATTCTTATATCATGAACATGGTTGTGACTATCATCTAATTTCATAGACCAAATATATGTTTTTTTAAACCTCTGCACGAGGTGTGATGGGTGTTAACAAAATAACAAGACAAGCTAGCTCGCAAGACGGCTCGGCTGAGCTCATTAAGAGTCAAGCTTGAGCAATGTCTTTCAGCTCAACAATCCAAAACCAGCTGAGCCCCCAAGCTCATTTGTTAAAGAAGCCAAGCTCAAACTTACACAAGATCAGCTTGAACTCGCATCCAACTTCCGTGACTCACCCGAGCCAATGTATGCTTATATGAATATTAAATTTGTCCTTTTTATTACAAAGAGGCCATATATGGCTTTTTGGTTAATATGTACCATTTATAGGCATTACACTCAGGGCTCAAGTTGTTGGAGTATGGCCCGCTAAGACCTCATGACCACCATAGTGCTCATGGTCCCTCTCTTATCTTTTATTTTAAATGAAATGATCTCATTTTCAAATCCTTGGACTATCTTTTATGGTAAATTTCATTCTCTTTCTTTCTTTTTTTTCACCACCCATCAATGATATTCTAACGATCACATTAAACCAAATGTTTTTATTTGGAGTAAGAGAGATAAAGAATGATAAAAAAAGGAAGGCTTAGCTATTGATATGGGCAGAGAGAAATCTAGATCATTGGATGCAAAACATGCCATGTGGCAAGGAGATAAGTTCCAATGCTTATAAAAGGGGTTCACTCACCCATTACAAGACACATAGAAAAATCTCAAAGTCATTGCCCATCTCTCTAGTTCTCTACAAGCTTTACAGCAAATTCTTTTTTTCCATATCTATCTTTCTCTCTCTATTATTTTCAATCGAATTGTTTTTTAATTATTTTTCGACATTGGTATTAGAGCTTCACGGTTGGTCTTTTTTATCTAACTGTGGTGGTGCAATCTACTTGTTCCTCTATCCTTGTTGGGTCCACCGAGGGATAATCATTGATATTTCAACCTTTTTCTCCCTGCGTTTTACAAGAGTTTCAGGCTATTGCCATTGACATCAATAGCTGATACGGACTTGCACAGGCAATGTACTTCTTTTGGGGTTTTGTAGAGATTTATTCTCTCATCCTGTTTTTAGTTTTGTAGAGACTTATTCTCTTTGTAGAGACCTATTCTCTTACATCTTTTTTTGGGTTTGTAGAGGCTTATTCTCTTTCATCTTTTAAAGCGTTTTGTCCCTCTCTCTCTTACATATTGGGTGACATTTTATCCTTTTCCTTTTCAAATACTTTCCATCTTAAGTTGCCTCCCTCTCTCTCTCTTTAAAACCTTATTAGTAGCATACCTTTTTTGATCAGAAGTTCCCTGTGCATATTTTTTTTCCTTCCTAAGTAAAGCTCAGCCTGATACTCCATGCAGCCAAGCAGATGCGATTGGGTTTTTCGATTATTTTTGTAGCGAAAAGATTTGGGCTTGTCGTCCTCAATTAAAATTTGTCCTTCATCTTGGAGATTCTTTGGAGGCTATTACTTGCTAGTCAACTTAACGAGATCTGTGACTCACCATCGACCAAAAGGGTATCGCCATAATCATTTGAAAAGTTGGTAAATCATTCATTGAGAAAGTGGTCAGTTGATCTAAACCTTGAATTTCATTGATGCTCATGTATTTCTTTGATAAATTGGCTGCTAGATTGGTGATGAGTGAATTATCTAAAACCCAAAAACTTAATAGGTCAAACTTTAATATGTGGAAAAGAAAAATGAACTATATATTGATTCAAGACATGATTGACTATATTTTGACTTCTACTAAACCTGAATTGGGTTTAAACCCCTTTGCCCATAGTAGAAGAGAACATGTGAAATGGCGGGTTGTTCTAGGTTATATAGAAAATCTACTTTTGGAAATCTTTTCCTATTTGGAGGAGGTTCTGTTTCTTGGTTCAGTAAGAAACAAGAATGTTGTACGGTGCACAATGAAAGCGGAATACATCACTTGTAGTATAGCTTCTACTTTTACCCTCTGGATAAGCCGCTTCGTTAGGGATTTAAAGCTTGAAATAGCTGAAGAGCCAATTCAAATATTATGTGATAATCAGGTTGCAATTTCGTTAATTAAATGTGTAGCAATGAACTCTAAGGGCAGACACATAGAAGTGGATTGTCATTATATCCTAGACAGCGGAAAGAAAGAAATTGCAGTAAGTTATTTGCCTTCCAATGATATGATACTAGACCCTTTAACAAAGGGCTTAACTGCTAAAATGTTCTCCAAGCATGTGACCATGAGGGGACTTAAAGAAATATAGCTTTTTGTTCTCAAGAGGTACTTTTTGAATGCTACAAAGGATTAAATCCTATAGGTGGACAAAACCTTGTAGCGACGCATGTCACATTGGACAAAACCTTAAACTAGCAAAACCTTGTGGCTTAGCAATGTTGGTGCACTCGGCTTTTTGGCCAAGTGGGAGTGTTGGAGTATGACTACTAAGGCCTCATGACCACCATAGTGTTCATGGTTCCTCTCTTACCTCTCAGAGCCATTGCCCATTTCTCTAGTTATCTACAAGCTTTACAGTAAAATTCTTTTTTTGCATATCTTTCTCTCTTTATCATTTTCAATCGAATTGTTTTTTTAATTATTTTTCGACACTTTCTTAAAGGGTATACAAGAGGCTCCACACGTGTCACAGCCCCGACACCCCCAACCATGAGTTTGATTTCTCATGGCAAATTTAGATGAAGCATTAAGCTTCTTCTCTTCCCAACTCTACCGTGTCGAACTTTACCAGCGACAACGGTGGTGCAACACCATGTGCCAAGGGATTAACAATGTGTGCGCTCAGTCCCTCACTCAACAACAACACTAGGCATCGAGTCGCATGGCGCCTCGAGAGTTCTCAGGGTTTTGCTAAGTCCACGCGGCTTACAACCCAAGCTCCATTTTTAATTAACGAAATTGTAGCCTAGTTATCACAAAATATCTGAACTGGTTCGTCGGCTATTTCTAGCTTCAAATCCATAATGAAGCGGTTTATCCAGATGGCAAAAATTACAAGAATTGCTTAACATAATCCACTCAGATATACGTGGACCATTGAATGCTAAGACACATAGAGGTATGAAGTATTTTATAACCTTCATAGATGATTACTCGAAGTATCAATATGTATAACTAATTAGTAACTCTGATGCTTTAGAAACATTTAAAGAATATAAAACAGAAGTAGAAATCAATTAGGAAGAGATATAAAAATTCTAAGGACCGATAGGGGAGTAGAATACACCTCAGAATTATTTAATCAATTTTGTAGCGATCATGGTATAATACATCAAACAACCTTACCATACACCCCACAACAAAATGAAGTAGCAGAAAGGTGCAATAGGTCTTTAATGGAAATGGTTAGATCTATGATGGGCCATGCCAACTTAGATCAAAATTTTTTGCTTCAAATTTTGAAGTAAAGGACAAAAGGCTTTAAAAGATGAGAGAGAATAAGCCTCTACAAACCAAAAAAAAGATGTGGGAGAATAGGTCTCTACAAAGAGAATAAGTCTCTAGAAAACTAAAAATAACACTTTACCTGTGCAGGTCCGTACCTGCTATTGATGTCAATGGCAATAGCGTGAAACTCTTGTGAAAAGTAGAGAAAAAAAAGGTTGAAATATCAATGGTGATCCCTCGGTGATCCAACAAGGATAGAGGAACAAGTAGATTGCACCACCACAACTAGATAGTGCTCCCACAGGGAAAAATGAAAAAAAAAAGTGAGACCAACCGTGAAGCTCTGATACAAGTGTTGAAAATAAATAAATAAACTATTCGATTGAAAATGATAGAGAGAAAGATAGATATGGAAAAAGGAATTTTGCCGTAAAGCTTGTAGATATCTAGAGAGATGGGCAATGGCTCTGAGATTTTTCTCTATCTTGTAATGGATGAGTGAGCCCTTTTTATAAGCATTGGAGCTTATCCTCTTGCCACATATGGTAGGTTTTGCATCCAATGATCTAGATTTCTCTCTGCCTATATCAATAGCTAAGCCTTCCTTTTTTTATTATTCTCTCTGTCTTTCCCCAAAGAAAAACTTTTGGTTTAATGTGATTGTTAGAATATCATTGATGGGTGGTTAAGAAAAAGAAAGAAAGAGAATGAAATTTACCATAAAAGATAATTAAAGGATTTGAATGCAATGAGACCATTATAGCAAAGTATATAATATAATTAAATTAAATTAAATTAAATGCATTTAAAATAGAAGGTAAGAGAGGGACCATGAATACTATGGTAGTCATGAGGCCTTAGTGGCCATACTACAACACTCCCACTTGGCCAAAAAGGTCGAATGCACCAATGTTGCTAAGCTACAAGGTTTTACTCGTTTAAGATTTACCCAATGTGACATGCTTGCTATAAGTTTTTGTCCACCTACAAGATTTAATCCTTTGTAACGTGCCTCTTGGGAAGAAAAAACTATACTTCTTTAAGTCCCATCATTGTCACATGCTTGGAGAACATTTCAGCAGTCAATCTTTTTGTTGAAGGGTTTGGTACCATATCATTGGAAGGCAAATAACTTACTGCAGTGTCTTTCTATTCCTCTCTGTCTTGGATATAGTGATAATCAACTTTTGTGTCTACGCCTTTAGAGCTCATTACTCCATTTTTAATTAAGGAAATTACAGCTTGGTTATCACAAAATATTTGAACTGACTCGTCAGCTATTTCCTGCTTCAAATCCTTAATGAAGCGATTTATCCAGACGGCAAAAATAGAAGCTATACTACAAGAGATGTATTTTGCTTCCATTGGGCACCGGGCAACATATTCATGTTTCTTATTAAACAAATAAACAAAACCTCTTCCAAAGAGGAAAAGATTTCCCGATCTTTCTAGTTATCCACAAGCTTCACAACAAAATTCATTTTTTCCATATCTATCTTTCTCTCTATATCATTTTCAATCAAATTGTTTTTTTAATTATTTTTCAACACAAATCCCCTCTAACACCACTTAATCTTTTAATTTAAAAAAGGAGTTTTTTTATTAAAAAAATTGTAGGTCATTAAAATTGAGGGGTTTTCAAAAATGATATGCATATGAATGATTCGTTCCCTCAACTTGTTGAGAAGGACCTATGTCACCTAACCAGTGCGCCAATTGAGTTTTAATTGCTCCAAGTAAGTATGTTATATATAAAAACTTTTTGTTTTTGTTTTTGTATTATTTTTTAAGGAAAATATCTCTAAATACCCTGTTTTTAAGTTTCATTTCTCCATGGCCCCAAGGTTTCAAAACCTATCTTTTAACCCCCAAGCCAAGTTTACCCACTTTTATTCCATTTTGTACCCCAAACAAATTAAAAAAAAAAACGTTACTTTCTAAATCTCCCTTGTCTCTCTCTTGACGTGATTTGGCCTGAAGTCACCCTCTCCTCCCAAATTTCGTCCAATCCTCCCAAATTTCGTCCAAACATTTCTCTGATTTTGTCTGATATCTCAATGTACCTCAAATTCACAAACTCCCATTTCACTCGAAATGTCTTTCTCTTATCGAATTCTAGCTTCATTCCTCCTTCAATTGCAGTATGCAGACAAAATCCGGCAAACTTTGGCCACCATTTCTCCTAGAAACCTCACTATAACCTTATTCTGTCCATTTACATCTCTAAAACTCCATTTTTCTAGTGAAATGAGCCTCAACATCCCCATAACTACTATTCTCTTTCACTATGTAATTTCATGCTCTTCTCAGTAGCCATCATCCAGCCCATCCCACTTCCCCTAAGCCTTCTCCAACTGTTCTGGCGAGTCCTCCGCCGGTTTCCAGCAGCCCCAAAATTTCTCTCGTGACTCCCCCAACAAATTCCGGCAGGCCCAAAGCATCTCTGCTCAGTCCTCTAGTTTTCAGCAGTCCAAAGACTTCTCCGGCCAGTCCACCTTCAATTTCCGGCAGCACCTTCAATTTTCGGCAGCCCTAAGACTTATCTAACGCCTTCAGAAGAATATGGAAGACCTACGGCGACCCTGGCAGCCTCTCCAGAAAGTTCTGAAAGCCTTGCCGCGTCTTGTCCGGCAATGGGCATGTGATGGGGTTTCATCATCGGCAGAGTCACCAGTGAAGAGGATAGGTTGGTTGCTGGCCACGGCCATGTGATGGGGGTTTGGTGGGCACTGTTTTGTGTGGTGTTATAGCACAGGGAGAGAGGGAGAGTATAGGTTGGCTGTTTGCCACGGCCAATTTGATGGGGGATTGGTGGGCACTATTTTGTGTGGTGTTGTAGCAAAGAGAGAGATGGGGGAAATACAGAGAGAGGGGTTTGGAATCACGAGAAGAGAGAGAGAGAGAAGCTCAAGGAGAAACACATGAAGAGAGAGAGGGCTTAGAAAAAAGATATCTTTTTTAAATTTATTTGGGCTAAAAAGATGAAGTAAAAGTGGGTAAAATTAGGCCAGGGGGTTAAAAGATATGATAGATGGAATCGTTATATAGTCATATAGGTTTTAAAACCTTGGGTCTATGGAGAAATGAAACTTAAAAACAAGGTATTTGAAGATATTTTCCCTATTTTTTAACTTGTGTTAGACATGCGCAAGTTACTCGGACTCACCCGAGTCACTCACCTCAGCCAATGGATGAGTACCTTGGCCGTGTCGAATCCCCGTACATTGTTTAGTATTGTGTGTGTGTGCGTGTGTGCGCATGTTAAATGCAATATATATTTACTATCTTAACCTTGCCTCGAATAGGAGATTCAATTTAGAATATTATGTTATATTATATAAATAGTGTATTATATATGGCCTTGTTTTTATGCTTGTGGTTTGGTTGCTTATGGCTTCACTGGCTGCATTTGTGGGGCATTTGTGGGCTTGTTCAAGTAGACAAGTTAAGCCAAGCCAGCCTCAAGTTCACCTTCCCTTTAATCAAGCCATGCTGATGCTGTATGGATCAAGCTGAAGTATGCTTAAGCCAAGCTCATACTGGTCTTTGAGCAGTGTGCAAACCAAGCTTGAGCATATGCCCAAGCTCTGCTTGGTTTGGCTTGTTGACACCCTTATTAGTTTACCCCAAATGATATAGAAAAAAATCTCTCTTTGGACTCTCAAAAAATATGTAGGTGAACCGTATTATGCTTGCGTGTAGTAACTGTTCCTCCTTTCCTCCGTGAGATTGTCTTTTCAAAATCAATAATGTGAGACCTTGCATTTTCTTAGTACTTTGAAAAGTCTGATGTTTCCTTCTTATTAATATTGGTCTGCTTGGCTAGAATTTTCTACGCACCTATTTCACATAAAAAACTGATATGCTTTTGTTTCTTCTTTCCTAGATGTTTACATATCATGCATTTCCATTATCGTTTGGGCAGAGACTTGGTGGCAGTGGTTGCAGCATACATGAGAAGCCTTTTCACATCTATCATTTCAAGGATTTGGAAGAGTGAGGAGAAGATTAATCCAAGATGGCCCCAGTGTAAGGAAAGCAATGGTCTTTTGATGACCCCAAATAGAACCACAAATCTTAACAATGCTGGGTGTCAATGTGTATGATTTGCTTATAAGAACTTCCTTGACGCCTACCAGCTTAGATGCACAAGGTATGGACTGTGCACCTTATTTTATGGTTCTCTGACCAGCTTCTTGTATCTTCACATTAGGAAATGCGAATTTGTATTTGTACCATTGTGCGTGTGTGTGCCGATAGGGCTTATGGAGCGCAGAAACTAATCAATCAATGGTCTACGTGTGGTTTTCCTCTCCATTACTTTCAATCTCTCTCTCTCTCTCTCTCAATTTGTCTGTCTCAATTTCCTAGAAGTAGGAGCCTGCCTTTTCAGGGTAGTTTTGTCTCCTGAAATTTCTCAAAGGCATCTCCAAAGGTCTCTTTGCTTCTCTATCCTAAAAGATGGTTACTTGGATTCAAATTTTGCTCAAAATATAGTAGTCTGGCATGTATTAAGGGCGATTAGGGACCTTTTAATTTCTCGTGTCTCCTTCATTCTTACTAATTTATTTAATGTGTACAACAAAAACATTTGAATTATACAGGGAAAGATACATCTGGTCCCAAAATCCAGTCTGCCTATAACAAATCCCCGGCCTTTTCAAGTTAGCATACAAACCTCTACTAATTTCTTGTTTTTCAACAAAATGCCCCTTATGCTCCTTTGAAGCAATTTTGACCAAAACACCCCCTCACCCTTCGTTCTTGCTTTGAGAAAGGTCTGGCCGGAAAAGCAAGGAAGTGGCTAGAAAAGAGAGTGTGGAGAAGAAATAATAGACTTGCAGAGGCTTTTTCCACCTGGAAAAAACAAGAGATGATCAGGTTTTTGAGGAAACAAGTGTACATAGTTTTGTTGAGGACCTTTGTTTTTTTTTTTTTTTTTTTTTTTTTTGCCTTTTTCGATGGTTTAGTGAAGAAGGGGTCTTCTATTCATAGCAAGTATGGAACTCAAGATGTTATGTTGTAGAGCTCTGCCACCCTGACCAACTAGCCTTGGAGCCCATTTCTAATCCAAGGGCTTGTAGAGAGAACCTTTTATCTTGTAGCTACTTTCTTGGTTTCAAATCTTTAGGGATGTTTTAGGTTTTGTTTTGTGAAGAGATCAAAGAAAGGGTTTGTCTTAGATATGTGATATGAATTGATTCTCTCTGAACGCTATCGTCTCTTTTGCATGAACCCTGTAATTGTTTGCTTCCTCAATCGATAATCCAATCCAAGTTTCTCACCCTTGTTCTTACCTTTGAGATTCCCTCTTTCTCTGTGTTGATCTCTCAAAAATCTCAGGTCTCTGAATTCCTTTTTCCAGTTTGTTGGGACTTTTTTCAAGCCAAGCATCTTGCTCCTTTGTAAGTTTCATAATGGGATTGAAGAATATCATCACCCATTGGAGCAAGCAAAAATTTTCTCAAACCTAAAGAATTTCTTTAACCTCCAAATTTGGACAGGAGCCTTTTTAACCTGCAAAATATCATTTTATGGTACAGACCACAGAAACCACCGCCAAATCTGGTGAGAGAAATCTGTAGACAGACCTTCACATCTTCCATCTTGATCCTTTGCAAGTTTCACATGATGAGGTTGAACAGTGTCATCACCAATTACGATTGCCAAAACATTCTCAAATCTTTGCTAGCCTACGATTTCACCTCCAAGTTTAGATGCCGGACTTTTCAACCTGCAAAATATCATTCTATAGAGTATAAACCACTTGCAGATATGGGGATTATATACTCTTTTGCAAAAAGAAATCTTGCATATTATTGCACGGAATAGGTGAGTCTGAAGAGCAAAGCACTAGAGTTGCCTCAAAGTAGAGAGAGAAAGTGGCCAACTTTTTTTTTAGAGAGAAGTTAGAGAACTTTGGAGAGGGCGAGTGAAAAAGGGTATATAAAATGGGAAATTCGAACCCCTTTTTTCATAGTGGTGTAGGGTGGCTCTTGGAGGTGAACAGTGGCTATTAATTATTCCCTGTGACGGTTGAGTTCACAACAGTCATATTCCAACTGTCATCAACCGCTGAAACTGCCAACCCACGGTTGTAGCAGCTACAACCCCTATGACAACAATCACTATATCACAACTAGTATTATAGCCGTTGGATCACACACGTAGCCATCCAATGCACCTTTATGAGTCCGAGTCCAGGTCGTGTCTTGCAAAAGTTGGAGCGAGCCACAAGCCCGACCCAAACCCGTGCACTGATTTAAGGGTGTGTTTGTGCTAATATGAGTGTGTGAAGTGCAACCACCCTTGTGCTTATGCACTTGTTTGTATGCGCGCTCCGCACATGTACCGTCACTCTCCTATGTTCTTTGAATACAAGGCATAAGAACATTTTCATATAATTTCCTATGTTCTATGAATACAAAGCATAATGGTGGTATTTAAACCCCGTTATTTTCTCTCTCTATTTATTAAATTTTTTTAAAAAATATATTATTTTGAAATACTATGCGTAATATTTTTCAAAGGGATTGTATACAATGAGATCATTTACCTTTGATACAATTATTTACAACCACCTGATGTGAAATTTGATAGTTTGGATATGTCACAGTTTGAAAAAATTTATTTTGAAATTTGAGTTTGGTCAATGGAATAATTACAACCGTCCAATTTCACATCCAATAGTCGAGATTAATGTGATCACCATGTACCATAGGTAAATGGTCTCATTCTATACTTTCCTTTTTTTAAAACGAAAAATACGATAGGGCCCCATTTTATATACCTTTTCTCACTCGTCCTCTTTCATACTCTCGCGTTGTTTAAGCTTCTCTACCATCTCTCTCCAAAAAAAACTGCTATCTTTCTTTACTTTGAAGCAACTCTGGTGCTCTATGGGCACACTTGTTCTGATTTTCTTTATGACCTGTTTTCAGCTATTCTGATGATTGTTTTGCCCGGTCCACTTTCTTGCACATTGATTTTTTATCAGCAAGATTTTCAAAATGCAGTCTTGAGAACAGCAATTCTAGTGTGGCTGAAACCAGGAAGGTCCACCATCATTCTTTGTGCTTTCATAAAACTTACTCTCACTGAAATTCTATAGCCCTGGTTTCACCTATCATTTTTCAAAAATTTAAAGACAAAATTTTGGGAGAAATTATGGAAGGAAATACGAGTTCTATCAAGTCATGAACTACGATTTCACAAAGCACGATCGTTTTGATGGGACTACTTTCAAGGAGGGGCAACATAAACTGAATTTTATGTCGACCACACTTAAAAGTTGCATGTCATACCCAGCAAAAAGGGCGAACTTACCATTATGGAATGAAGAGGAGGACCCAGAACTATTCAAATTTTGGCAAAAATGGATGGAGGATGATCATATTTGCAAGGGTCATATACCCTCAGTGTGCTTGTTGCTGCTATTTATGACATTTATCATTCAGTGGCATAGATAATGGAAATATCTAACGGAGAAGTTGGGCAACCAATGCTTTCTAATTATTTTAGTTCACTAATAATATGCGCATACTCAACCAAGTGTATGAATTACAACTTATTGCAAAGTGCAAAAATTCAATTAGATGAAGCTTTTCAAATGAGAACTAATATATATATCTGTTCAATTGAACGACTAGCTAAAAAATGTTAATTTTTTTTTAAAATTCAAACAATAGTAAATATATGTTTTAAGTAAAATGAAACAGAACACATGTAAATGAGGTTAAAAAGTAGTAAAAAAAATAGATTTTAAAAAAATTTATTTGTGACTTGGGTATTTTTAAAATAATCCAAAAAGAATGGAAAATGTAAAAAACTACTTTTAAAAATATTTGACAAAATGATGTAACACATAAAAGATAAGTTCAAATAGATTTTTTTTTTTTGAACTTTTTATATTTTTTATTATTTTAAGGTCCTTGAGCTCGGGCTCGTTCAGATATACATAACTTAAACTTACGATCCCTCATAAAAATAATACTTTGAATTTTTTATATTTCTTATTATTATTATTATTATTTTAAGGTCCTTGAGCGCCCAAATATACATAACTAACGATCCCTCATGAAAAGAATACCAAATAAAAGATGAAGCACAAGAGGGTCAATTAATGATGATTTGTACATCTGATCAACCTTTTCCTTTTTGAATTCTTGGGCCAGATCTTGCATCTAATCCGCACCTCCCTTTGAACTTCTTGATAGGACTTTGTGCGTTTGATCCGGACCTCTTTAAAGTTTTAGGTCTTGTACATCGATATTGAGGATTGATGTCTTGTATTCTGAGGAAATAGATCTGCCCAGGTGGAGTAAAAAAGACGACTCCGGCGGGTTGTTAAAATCCCGAAGGCCTTGAGGCCCGGAGGAGTAATCCTGATAGGTTGACTCGACCGAGGTGGCAGCCCCCGAGAAAAAATTCGAATATATCGGTACATGAGATTCGATGTATCTAGGACTTAATATATGTTCGTACAAGGGTATTTTGACAATTTGTACCATCTATTTGATACTCGATATATATTGTTGCTATTGGGGGTTCATCAAGGGTTCAGAGAAAAACGCAGATTGCTTTGTAATAAGAAAGACATGAGGAAGAGGGTTTTTGTAATCCTATTCTCCATTGCTAGCAAAGAAATTCTCATCTACCGTGGACGTAGGCACGTTGCCGAACCATATATATCATTGCGTTGTGGTTGGTTGTTTCTTTCTTTTGTGTTTGTTTCTTCTTTTTAGTTTTTGTGAATTGTTTTTCGTTTCTACAATCCGATCGGGACTTTAAAAAAAAAAAAATTTGGGTCGATGTTATAATCATAGATTAGAATCGACGGCATTTTGGAGATAACATTAAAACATGATAAAAAAAGGCTATAATCGAAAAGAGAGATTGTCTTCAATGAGACCATTTATCTATAATGCAAGGAGGTCATAATTATTTATAATCATTCCACGTGAAATATGATAGCTTGGGTTAGAAGGTTTGGAGATTTTTTTTAAAAAAAATGATAATTGCATTGTATACTTTTTCTTTAAAAAATGATAATTGCATTGTATACTTTTTCTTTAAAATGATAATTGCATTGTATACTTTAAAATGATAATTGCATTGCATTGTATACTTTTTCTTTAAAATGATAATTGCATTGTATACTTTTTCTTTAAAAAATGCGAGTCATTTTTTAAAGGGTGTGGTCTACATAAGGTTGCAACCTTAAGCAATTAAAGTAAGGTGCACCTCTAAATTTTATTATAAGATGTAATTTTGGTGTAAATAAATCTTAGGATGGCTTGAGAATCAATTTTTATTTCTAATTATAAAATTTTAAATTCCAAAAATAATCCAAAGCAAGTAGATCTATAAACACATGAACATATTGAAAATGGATAATCCAGATAATGTGTCGCAAATGCACGATTTTTAGGATTCAAAATCTTGTGTTTTTTCATTTCTGTACATCTTGATGATCACCTCATGATGATTAATTAGTGGGTTTTCAAATATCAAAATAGTATTTTCCAATAGATTTTTGAGGTGTACTTTAATTTTACATTTCAAAGTGGTAATTTTAAAGAGACTTTTCCTTTTTTAAATAAAGCAAAATAAAATAGATATTTTTGAAAAAAATCCCTAATTCTGGAGACATATTAGTACCATATATGTCCAACATGTTCTTTGGAAGCATGTGGTTGATTGATCAACATGTTGCACATCTGGATGATTGAAAGGAATCCCCTGAAATTCACCATCATTTTTTTATGTCTCAGCCAACATCTACCCCTTATTTTCTCCTTCTGCTTTTTCCCATTGCATGCCGGTGTAAGTGACCCTTGTCAAGCTTATTGCCTGCGTTTTCAGCTTTCATGTCTCCTTTCTTTAAGATAAAAAGTTTTTATTCTCTTTTACATGGCAAGTTGAAGTCTACTTTTGAAAAAAACTTTTCAGACAAAAGGAAACGTGGAGATAAATGTCCAAGTGAGCCGTTTTAGCCTTCTTAAAATTATTTCTTTTGGTAGAATTTTAGGCATCAGTATCCATTGTTTAAGACTCGGCTGAGTCCACTATGGACTCGGCTGAGTCCACTATGGATTCGGTCAAGTTACTGGGCCTCACCTAGTGGGCGAGGCTGCGTTGCCTCGAGTTATTTGTACACCTCAAGGCACATAAAAAAATTTTAAAAATTGTAAAATCAATTTCTCACTAGCCCATTTTCATTACCCTCTCTCTGTCCCCCCTTCCTTCTGTCTTTCTCCATTTTGGGTTCTTCTTTGTATCTCTCAACATTCTTGGACTGTACCACTATCTTTCTCTAGGGCATGGTTCTATGTTTTTTTGTGGGGTAATTTAGTGTTATAGAGAAGCGAATGAAAATGCTAATGTTCTCGTCAAAGGAGAAGTCCATACTCTCTCTCTCTCTGTTAGTTATTCATTTATGTAATCTTGTGTCTTTGTTTAAACTTCTTGTATAATCAATGATATGTTGTACGTTACCGTTTTTTAAAAAAAGGCATGTTTCTACCCATTTTTTTCAAAAAATTTAGGAGTTAAATTTTTTGAAAGCATTAATAGGGTAGTGTTTTTGGGAATGAAAATCAGTGTGATGACTTGGGTGTGGAGGTACAACCATCACAACCCTTACATTGTTTTTAGAATAAGAATGGACTCAAGGCTAGATGATCAAGGCCCACTGGTAGGGACCCTTTCCCCATTGAACTACCTAAAAAGTGAAAAAAAAAAAAGGATCATTGTTTCTTGGATACCACTCTCATTATTCTTGGTTACCAGTCAGCTTTTCTCTCAAGAGAAGAATAGTTTTCTCCTTTGCAACCCCAACTCCATCAACCACTCCTGTTCCTCAAGATAATATGACCTCCGATAAAAAAAATTTAATGGCTCTGACAAAACCATGAGGAAATCGACGAGGTTATTAAGGATTTGCTGAAACTACTGTATTTTGGTAAAGAGAGACTTTGTGGGATATCCATGACTGCGCGGTTCTCGAATGGAGAAAGAAGACAGAGGATTTGGGTGAGAATGAGTTTGTAGGCAGTTGCGCAGGGTAAGAGAGACAGGAGGGAGATGTGGATACGGGGAGGCCAAGTGACCACTAGTTTTCTCTTTTTCTTCTTCTCGTTTTTTTTCAATTATTATTCTTAAAACTCGTACTATTCGGGCGAGTTATTCCAACTCACATGAGTAACTTGTCTTAGGCTTAGGTCTAAGTCCTTGGCTTAAGCTGAGATTTCAAACATTGGTTTAGAGACTCATGGGATTGTATACTATAAGACCATTCACTTTTGGTATAAGACAGTCAATCACTTTTAGATGTTGACGTGAAATTTGATAAATTGAAGTGTCACAAATGTTCAAAAAAATTTATTTTAGATTCTTTGTCCCATCAATAATACATTCCCAATCACCCGATTTCACATTTACGGTCAATAATGAATGTGACCTCTTTATATAAAAAATAAATGGTCTTATTGTATATATTCCTGCGACTTTAATCCATTATATTAGGAGAAACAACACAATAAATGGATGATAAATTTATTTAGAACCAAAGGGAACTGCCCATCTAAAGGAATACATAAATCATTTTATCAAAGGAAATTTTTTCAAATAAATATTCATGAGAGATGATCTATTTAACATTTTACCGATGTAGTTTGACTTAATTTTAAAATATCCATCCAAAGACAAAATATCATAAATTTGAAAAGTTGCAAAGCATGTAAAATACTAAATAGTGCATCGTATATTTTGATAAATTTCCCATTTATAAATAATGTTGAATAGGTACCTATAATTGGCTGCCCAGGGCAATTTATTTGAGCTTTATAATTTACGACGAGACCTTGGTTACTCTGACTTTAGAGTACATGGGGCCTTTTACTCTTGGGATTATCTATAAAGAGTATTTTATCTTTTGTACATGAAAGTTAAAATCATTCACACTTATTAGTTGTTAAATTGTGGATAGCTTGGGGTGAATCACAAAATTCGAAATTTTAAATTGTAGATAGCTTGGGATAAATCATAAAATTCGAAAAAAAAATTTAAAACTGTCTATTCAATGTCACTCTTACAACTGCCTATTTTTAATTTCAGAGACAAATTATAACCTCTATGTACAAAATATAAATGACCTCTTTATAGACAATCCCTTTTTTCTTTCTTGCTTTTCATCATATATCAAAAGATAAATGGCCTCTTTATAGACCATCCCTTTCCTCTTTCGTGCTTTCATCAACATATATGCATGCATGCACATGTACATGATGCATTCGCTTAGACTTCGATACGCATGTACAAGATGCAATCGCTTAGACTTCAATATGCATGAAGAGTTGCTGCACGCAGGCTTTCTTATTAGGGTAGGGATATTAGATTTTTCTTTTTTAAGGACAAATTTTGGAAGATCGGTAAAATTCGCAAAACAAAATTTAAAAAGTTCACAAAAATAGGATACAACAAGAAAAATTAGAAAAAGGTAATAAAGAAAGAGAAGGATAACATAAATATTTTCTTCAATTTTTTTTTTTTTCAATTTTTTTCAACAACCCAAATTTCTAGTTTTCTTACTGACATGCAACTTGTAGCTCTCTCTTACACCTTTTTCTTGCTAGATTATTTTTCTCTTTGACTTAATTTCATTTAATCACAAATATAGTCTCACTAATGACTAAACAACAAAAATTTAGACATACAAGGAAGAAAAATCTTGCCGAAAAATTACATGTTTAAAAAATCTTGCAGAATCTTTGAAAAGAGAGAAAAAAACAGAAATGGAGAGAATAATCCTTATCAACAGTTTTATTTACATTCATATTCAGTCAAAAAAAATTTTGGAAATCATTTTCTTGTTTCGCTTTGAATTTGCACCCGAGTATCCATGTATGGTTCCCACCAGAATAATTAGTCAATTACTGCATCGCGACTTTCATCCTTCACGTAATCACACATTCACAGTTTCATACTACATACTACTGATAAACTAACTCAACACGATCAAAATTTAAAAGAAAATAAAGAAAATTGCCACTTACTTACGATGAAGATCAAAACACAAACGTTTATGCCGATTTTCTGTTGTTATGAGAAGTTGTCAATCCTTGAAGCTTGGTCAGATGCTGAGGTCAAGCCTTTCAGCATTCTGATAATATCAGTAGTATCATCCAAATAATACTTGGCTTTGCTGGGTTTTTTGCCCACCGTGCATGCAAACACTTCTGCAACAGGTGAAAGAGAAGGTCCTGACATTGCATTCGTGATGACCCCGAACATATCCTCATCAGATCTGTCGTCTCCTATGCATAGAACAAAATCGGGGAGCATGCCTTTCTGAAGCATTGTTAAGAGAAGGCGGTCGGCCACAAGACCCTTGTTCACTCCCTGCAAAAGACATAACAACCTGAGAAATTTCTTTCTTTTAATTTTTATTGGGGATTTAACAGTGATATTTTTTGGGGTTATCTTATTTTCGATAATTTAAGAGCCTGAGCATCTTATTGGTGAGGTGGGGGATTGAACAGTCTTGAGAATGTCATTTTTCAATGGACATTTCATTGAATTGAATCTACTTTTTACTTGTCACTGGTTTTCAGACTAAGGGATGATAAAATAAAAGAAAAGAACTTGCCTTTCTGACAATCCTCATCAGAAACATGAGCCATGATTCTCTTTTGTGCTAAGTCAATCCATGAGAGAGAGACAGATAGAGCCCACAAATTTTACATGGGACCCAAAAGGAGAGAGAAGCCACAAACTTACAGTGGCTCAAAAGTAGATAATTCTTCCTTTTGATTCCAAAAAAACAGTATAGATTATATTCCAGATATTGGCGGCAAGGAAGGTACTTTTTCCAGATACCATCCTTTCATTCTGCGATTAATAGATACTTCAAAATTGGTTCCATATCCATATCTCAAAACAAAATATCTCTCAACAATAACAAAAACAAGCTCAGGGACCACGAAAACCATAGTTTCTAGCCGTTTCAGTGCATCATAGGGCTTAGAATATATCACCTGAGGCTTAACTTCTACGATGTGTTGGCCACTTTTAACAGAGACTGGTTCATTGGTTAGCACGCTTTCGAGATGGTCAAGCAGCTCCTTAGCTTGGCAAGAACCAAAGTCAGGATCAGCATATTGGTAGTGCCACACAAGCGCACTCTCTTTGGTTTCAATTGTTGAGCCATCGGTGGTTTCGGTGTACAATTGCATGACTGGCTCTGCTATCGTCTTCCACTCGAAGTCTGTTGCGGATGCACATGTCTCCCATTCTGCATCGCACTTTAACCTGTGTATAAATGATTCAGGGCTCAAGAACATATAGAATTTTTATTTTTGTGTGTGTGTTGGGAGGTGGTGGGGGAGGGGGGGGGGGGGGGGGGGGGGGGAGAGAGAGA